TGCACTGGCAGGCCGCCGCTGCTGCTGCTGCTGCAGCTGCTGCTGCTGCGCTGCCTGCTGCTGCAATGACTGCTGCTGCACTCGCTGCTGCTGCCCTTGCTGCTGCTGCTGCTGCTGCTGCTGCTGCTGCTGCAGGCTGCTGCTGTCGTCCCCCTCTTCGCTTCCTGCTGCTTATGTGTCTCTTGCTGAAAAAGGAGACAACAGAAAAGTGGACATGCTCGTTAAAGACATTTACGGAGGCAACTACGCAGCCATCGGTCAGGGTTTAGGGTTTAGGGTTTAGGGTTTAGGGTTTAGGGTTTAGGGTTACGTGGAGGGAGCTGGGCAGTGGAGGGTTTAGGGTTTAGGGGCTAGGGTTTGGGGTTCAGTTGACGGGGGTCGGTGCCCAGGGTCTCTGTGGTCTGGGCTTTAGGGTTTAGGGTTTAGGGTTTAGGGTTTAGGGTTTAGGGTTTAGGGTTTAGGGTTTAGGGTTTGTGATGTGCAGGGCTGAAGGGAGACACCATTGCGTCGACGTTTGGCAAGATGCAGCATGCAAAGCTCAGGCAGCACAGAAGCCACTGCTGCAGCAGCAGCAGCATAGTCTCTCCTGCTGCTGCTGCTGCTGCTGCTGCAGCACCCGCTACTGCTGCAGCATCCCCTGCTGCTGCATCACCTGCTGCTGCTGCATCTCCCGCTGCAGCTGCTGCACCCGCTGCTGCTGCTTCACCCTCGGCAGCTGCTTCTCCCGCTGCTGCTGCATCACCCGCTGCTGCTGCATCACCCGCTGCAGCTGCTGCACCCGCTGCTGCTGCTGCACCCGCTGCTGCTGCTGCACCCGCTGCTGCTGCACCCGCTGCAGCAGCTGCACCCGCTGCTGCTGCAACAGTAGCAGAGGCTTTAGAGGGGACTGCAGCAACAGCAGCAGCAGCTGAGGAGACAGTGGAAGACGCGGCAGCTAAGAGCCAGCCAACGTCGAAGCTGCTGGACTGCAGCAGCAGCAGCAGCAGCAGCAGCAGCAGCAGCAGCAGCAGAGGTGTAGACAGCGTTGCAGCCGGGTGTCCAGCAGCAGTAGCGGCAGAATGCTCTTGCAGCAGCAGGAGCTGCTGCTGCTGCTGCTGCTGCACAAACGACGGAGACTGCTGCTGCTGCAGCAGCAGCAACTGCGATGAGTTCAGCGACTGCAGCAGCTTGTTAGACCACCCGACGCACATAGAGTTTATGTGCAGCGACGAGGAAGCAGCAAGAGACGAGAGCTGCTGCTGCTGCTGCTGCAGCAGCAGCAGCAGCGGCGGCAGCAGCAGCAGCGGCGGCAGCAGCACAAACAGCTCCGGCTCCAATCCTGGTGAACCCGCTCAAGGCAAAGACAAGGAAGCCAGCAGCAGCAGCAGCAGCAGCAGCAGCAGCAGCAGCAACAGCAGCAGCAGCATCGTTGCGTTCAAGGGCGAGGATTTCTACGACCAAGTGGGCGACTGCTGCTGCTGCTGCTGCTGCTGCTGCAGTTTTTGCTGCTGTCTTGCTGCTGCTGACGCTCGAGCAGCCGTTTGGCTGGCTGCTGCTGCTGCTGCCCGTAGATTTGCTGCTGCTGCTGCTCCTACCGGGAGATTTGCTGCTGCCGCTGCTCCTGCCTACCAGTAGATTTGCTGCTGCCGCTAACAAATCTGCTGCTGCTGCTGCTGCTGCTGCTGCTGCTGCTGCAGCCGTCGGAAGCAGACGCAGTGCGGTCGCTGCTGGCGATGATGAGCTTCAACTTGGCGCAGCAGTCTTTCCTGCATGCTGTGCTGCACGGCCTCAACAAGTTTGTCTTGCTGCTGCTGCTGCTGCTGCTGCTGCTGGCTTTGCTGCTGCTGCTGCTGCGTTTGCTGCTGCTGCTGCTGGCTTTGCTGCTGCTGCTGCTGGCTTTGCTGCTGCTGCTGCTGCTGGTTTTGCTGCGGCTGCTGGATATGCTGGAGTCTTTCCTGCGTGCTGCGCAGCACGTCCTGAACAAGTTTGTCCTGCTGCTGCTGCTGCTAGCTTTGCTGCTGCTGCTGCTGCTGGCTTTGCTGCTGCTGCTGCTGCTGGATATGCTGCCACTGGTGGATATGCTGCTGCTGCTACCGGATTTGCTGCTGGTGCTGCTGCTGCTTCCTTTTCGCTCCCACTCCAGCTCCTCGAGTGTCAGCCTCAGGGTTTAGGGTTTAGGGTTTAGGGTTTAGGGTTTAGGGTTTGCTGCAGGATCGTGATGGTGGGGTTTCTGGAGGCCCCTTGCTTCTTGGCTTCGCTGCAGCACTTTGTGAACTTTTGGTCCAGCAACTCTTGCACAATAATGTTCTGTCGGTGAGAATTAAATTAATTTAATTATTTATTTTAATTAATTAATTATTTATTTATTTATTTTATTTATTTATTTTATTTATTTGTTTTGCTGCTGCTGCTGCTGCTGCTGCTGCGCCGCAGGCTGTCGTGCTTCATGGGGGCCCTCGGCGCCGCCCTCCACTCCGGCAGCTTCCTCTGCAGCAACTGCAGCAGCAGCAGCAGCAGCAGC